GAGGCAGGGGCTTGGTCTGGGGTGTGCCGCGGGGGGACCCTGAGGGACAGCGCTGTGCTGGCAGGAGCCCCACGGGCAGACGCAGTTACACTGGTACGTTCGAGCTTGGTTCGCTGGCGGGGAGGGGTAGTTTTGCCAGCACAAGCTGTGGCCACGCTGGGACTGCTTCGCCAGGCTAGTACTAGCAAAGTGCTCCATGCACAGGCCTGGCCAGCGCAATGAGGCCCGGGGTAGCCGTCTAGGGCGAGACCTGCTCGCGCCCATGAGTGTGAGTGCAGTGACGGCGAAGGGTCAGGGCTGGAGCTACACCCCGTCAGCCTCCCTGGGTTTGCAGATGGAACTGGGGGGAGCTGTGAAAAGCCAGTTCTGCAGGTGCCTGCCCTGCCCTTCCCGGCTGGCTCCCGTCACGGAGGAATGTTCTTCTCCGTGGAATAAACACGGCTATTAAATATTTAATCTCTGGGCTAAGACCTTTCTTATTTCATTTGCAATAATCTTGCTGGCACAGATGGTGCTCGGGTGGCCTAGATAGCCAGCGGGAGCCCTCGGAGCTGCAGCAAGAGCGAAGCATGCTGGGGCCAGTGGCTGGAGCGCCTGCAACCCCCCACCGTGGGTCACTGGCTGCCCAAAGCGTCACCTCCCCGCCCCGTCACGTTCCAGCAGCCAGGGAGGAATCACACCAGGCCAGTGGCTGCAGAGCCCAGCTGGGCTCTGTGGCCTCACCTGCCTTGGGCATTTGCTCACTGCTCAAACTCCTGTAGGAGCACAAGGGGGACCAGGCGTGTTCAGGGACCACAGGGTTTACCTGGCCCTGGGCAGGGGAGGAACGGTGGTAAAGCAACCAGGCCCTTCCCGCCCACCTGGGGCAGATGCCCTTGGGGAAATGGTGAGCAAATTGCTGGCAGCTGCTCAAGCCTCATGGCCGGGGTGCGGTCCTTCCACATCTGCATGAGGCGGCTCACCACTGCTGCCCTTTTTCTGGCGTCAGAGCCCACAGGGACACCAGCAGGGCTCTGGGCCTGGCTGGTATTAACTAGCAGGATGGCACTGGCCCAGTGCTTCAGGGAGTCATTCAACCATGCATTGGTGCTGAGCCTGGTTCCTTCTGCAAGTACAAAGGGGCACCCCCCCCCCCCCCCCGGAGGCCTTGAACTGGATGTGCTGGAGCGCATGCAGCTGCGATCCAGGGGCCAGGCCCTCCGGGCGGCAGAGGCTGCTTGCTTTTCTGCAAGCCCCAACTCTTCGCAGGAAGCAGGGGGCATGTGGTGGCTCAAGGCTCCCTGTGGGCCCAGACGGTCCTTCCTTGCGCCTGGCTCCAGGCGGACCGTTGAGAGGTCTGGGCTCCTAGAGGGGCTTCCCAACTCATGTGCTGAGGCTAAACATACACTGGGGCAGGGAGCCACAAACATTGTCATTGGGGGGACGGACGGACAGGGACACCGCTGTCTCCCCGTGGCAGCACCAACCATTGCTGCTGTGAAGAAAAGCCTGCAGGGACCTGCTTCACTGATGGTGTAGTTAGTGTCTTCTCAGTGCGCCCAGGCTGCTCTGCACAGCCCCGTGTAGGAAACCCGGCGCTCGGTAGGAGGGCTGAGCCCGCCTGGCTCGCTGCACGTGTGACCCAAGTTAAAGTCGATCCCAGCGCTTTAGCTGGGCACGGCTCTCGCTGTACACCCCCCACCCCCAAAGCGCTGACACGCCGCTCTGCCCTAAGCCAGGCGGGGCCCTGGTGCTGCCGAACGTGCTTGGCAGTGCAGACGAAGTAAAGCAAATGCAGGCTGGGGCTGGGTGGGGAGGTGGGCAGCCTTAGGGGTCTTGTCGCCCCTGCAGCTAGAGGCTGGAAAAACAAAATGCCATCTGTTGCAGCGACTGAGACCCGTGCATGGCAGGAGGGCCACCTAGTGGTCGGGTGTGCAAGCAGCGCCTACAGGTAAAAAAGCAAGAGGCTTAGACTAAACAAGTGCCACTAGAATACGTCCCCCTGTTATGCCAGCAGCTGGGCATGTGGCGGGACTGCAGGGGACAGAACTTGCAGCTGCGCACGATGACATGCATGTCCCACGCATGAGCGCAGGCTCACAGGTGTCACGTCCCTGCTTGTTTCTGGGGATGAGGCCAGGCCGTGGAATGGGCTTCCCTCTGGCAGCTGCGAAGCAGGATTATTTGCAGGCCTGTAGCACCTAGGGAGGGCCCCGGTCAGGGACAAGGCCCGCGCTGTGCTAGGGTCTATAGAGACGTAGCCCCCAAAGCCAGACCCGTCCCCAAGGGGCTCTCAGTCCCGCGCTCGCCCATTTTGAGCGTCTCTTAGATAACATGGCGGCTTTGCACATGCTGAAGCGATCCAGCCATCCTCCAGCCAGTGGAGCCCTGTGTTTTCTGATTAGCTCATTTTCTGTCCCTAGTTGCTGGCTGCTCTTCCCTGCCCATTGGACACGGTGGCACCGCTTGGTCCTCTAACTCCTGGCTGGATAGAGGTGAGTGATGGGCTCCAAGGTGGTTGGTGTGTGTGTGGGCTTTCAGCCAGTATATTACCTCTTCTTTCCGACCGAGAACACATCAGCCTCTGCTCCCCCCCCCGCCCTTTGCAATCCAGGCACCCACCTGGAGCTGGGCTGGTGTTGTTTCAGCACTGAGTCTGCCCGGCCAGCCTGCTGAAGTGGAGTTTCCTCCCCAGATGAGGGACAAGGCAGGGCACCAGGCCCTTAGCCTGGAAAAGGTCTGGGACAGCTGCCATGCACCCAGCCTGACGGGAGGAACCCAGGGTCACCGTGCATTTGACATGCCACCTTGCAGCGCCACCCCGCGCCCCTCTGCCAAGCTGATGCATCCGCCTTCACGCTGGGCAGCAGTGTTTCCTTCTTCTTCACTTTTGTTTTCGGTGCTCTAAGTGTTGCTGGGGTGCAGTTGGCAGGGGATGTGGGATGGGGGCCTGCCCTCATTACTGGGTAGATGTCGTGGCCTTCAGTTGCAGCGATCGCTGCCGTTACTTGGGTCAGCAGTGGCGCCCTCCCTACGTGTCAGGGTAACCGCTCCTGCTGCGGCCATTCCAGGAACGTGCCTGAACTGGGCCTGCCTTGTCTTGGGCTGTTCCAGCCCCGGTCCCATCCTTCCTCCAGACTGCACCACTGGCAGGTTTGACTTTCTGGAGGTCTCCCCTCCCCCTTACACACCCGTTCTCCCTGGTCACTTTGTTCCAGGCCGTTCGCATGGCCCCAATCACTTTCCCCTGCTCCTGACTGCAGCCAGCTGAACCCTTGAGCGGAAGAGCAGGCTGGGTTTGACAGAATGACACCAGCCTGCCATCATCGCTCAGTGATGAAAGACTAAGGGCGGAGCAGCTCTCTGCTGCCCATTAGTGCCAGCAGCTGGCACGCCCCCCCAGCTGGGATGTGGGTTGAAGAGTGCCCCTTTCACACATCTGCAGGGCTAAACCGGCAGAATTCCAGCTTCTCCCCCACCCCGAATCAGAAGGGGCTGAACTCTGCAGGACACACAGCCTGCATCGCATCCTCTCATGCGTAGTGTGCCCACTGAAGATTCATGATCCCTAAGGGGTGTATTGCAGATGGCCCCTGCCTGCACCATCCAGCATCAGCTGCTGTGGAGGTGATTTAGCACTTAGGCAAGTTTTGCCTGTCATGGCTGCACCCAGCTGGGGAAAGGCATTTGGTTCTGGTCATTTGGGACAGGCCTCAGGCCTGTTTTTTTAAAGGTAAGAGGCAAAGAGTATGATAAAGAGGAGATTTGTGCCCTTTTCTGCTTCTTGATGCTGGATCAGGCTTGGATTTAAAAAAAACAGCTGCTCGCTTTTCATTTTCAAAGCAGGAAGGTCAAGGCTGCTCTTCTCAGGAAGGCGTCTAGCTCCCAAGGTTTGTGAATCCCTTCCTTGAAAGGGCAGGGTTGTTTTCCCTTCACTAAAATACTGCCCACTGCAGCTAAACAAATAGCAGCTACCAGCAACCATCTGTCCCCCGCCTCATTACTCCAATTGTACTTTTGTAATGTCCTTTGTTGCACTAGTTCTATGACACCACAGAAGACTCCAGCCTACGCAAGGTCTGAACCTCTAGTGCAGAGGAATAAAATAAATGAAGGAAGCTGGAGGGAGAGGGGGACAGTTGGTTTAAAACCAAAAACAAAGAAAGGACACAAGTGCAATTTATTTTTCCAGCGCTGGTCACTATGAAATGACTGGAGCCGGGTGGGAAGCTGTTTCAAAGCTTACTTTACCCCAGTTGTAACTTCCACATGGTTTGCCTTGCAAAGAATACTTTAAAGGCAGCTGTTTAAGGAGATTTATTTTTTAGAAATTGCCAGACCGTAGGAGAGTTGCTTGAATGACAGATTACCCCAGATCACGGGTACTTACAAAAATGTCTTTAATCAATAACAACCTGCTGCAAAAACATAGTTAGGCATTAATTGAAAGCAACGTCCCCACCAGCTGTCCTTGCTCCAGGGCAAACACAGGAAGTTGAGAAGTGTGAATCGCACAATATAAACTCACAGCAATGAGCCAGTTAGAAATACACGTGTAGCCCAGCAGATACTACAGCTAAATTCACTGGTTCTTTGTGTTCAAAGCCTTCGGACCGTTACAGAGCCTTTTCCTCCCACCCAGCAACTCTCCTTTCAGAGGGCCACGGTCAGGGCGTTTAGTATAAAACAGGATAAAAAAGACAACCCCAAATATTTCCATTTGGTAAAATACCAGGGTTTGGGGTTTAGAATGCAGTGTCTGCAACCCTCCCCCTGCAAAGGCTGTGGCCCCAGAAACTCCCCGAGCACAGGGCTGCCATGTGCGTGAGACCCACAGAGTAAATCGGGCCAGGCTATTTGAATTGCAGTGTAAACCCAGCCCCAAAGGGAGACAGGAAAAGTAGAGGGTTAATCCCCCGTAAGGCCATGTCTACGCCAGGATTGCTTTATGCATCCTGGTATGCTACAGTAGCAAAGCACTCCCAGTGTGGCTGCAGCAATATCAGCAAAGCTGCACTTTGTACCGCGGTAGTAAAACCACATACCTCCAAGCAAAACAAGCCATATATGTAACAGCCGTTTCGCCAGTATAGCTGTGTCTACACTAGGGGCTTCTGCCCGCACAGTTCTGTCAGTCAGAGATCACTTCTCTTCATGCTCCTGACCATCACAGCTCCGCCAGAAGACGTCTGTAGGGTAAACACAGCCTTACTCTAATCATCTCAGGGAGTGCCAGTTGGAGGGAGGGAAAGCAGGTTTTGTTGGTTTTTAAAATACGATTTTTAAACCAGATGGCGTAGTCAAGGCCTAACAGAAGAAATGTCACTGATCCGAATCATCTGGTTCTGAATAGATGAAGTTAAAGTGGCACGACCCCCTTCTCTGGGCGTTTATTTTGATTTAAGCTAAATCACAGGAAGGCACTCAAACTACGTGTCCACACAAAGAGCCACGCCACTTTCACCGAGTCAGTACAACCTCCTCCTGTAGACAAGGCCTTTGGCTCGACTGCTCCCAACCAACAAGCAGCTTTTAAACACGATCACACTGATCTAGTCATTCCTCCCCAACTCCACAGGCAGACCCCTCCCAACACCCTCCTCCCCCACAGATAAACAACCTTTGCACCTGTCAAGAGCAGAGGTTCAGTCATTTGTTAACGCGGAGATGCCCTCTAAGTAAAAATAGGATGTGGAAGGCTTATTGTTTGACGCGGCTAAATAACAAACACCCAGACAGCTGTTGGGAGTACAAAAATATGTTTTTTTCCTTTTCATTACATCAGTTATCAAAGAAAAAAGCAGTGGTAACAAAAATACAAAGCTCTGAGGTTGTGTGTGTTTTGTTGTTGGTTTTTTCCCGTAATACAGGCTGAGCAGCAGTGCGATTTAATTGAACTTCTGCTCCGAGTCTCTGCTGGCAGAGTATGCGTAAGCTTTCCCCAGCACCAGCCGGTCACGCAGCAGCTTGAAGAAGGCGTAATAATTGCTGAAGAGGATGAGCGCCAGCGAGATGGTCTGGTGCCACTTCTCTGACGAGATCAGTGAGTAGAGCTGGTAGAAGATGACAGCTCCTTCCAGCAGAATTAAAATGTTCAAGATCCTCAGCGGTTTGCTGAAAAAGAACTGGAGGATAAAGAGCCCAGGGTAAGGTGCTGTATGGGAGTCAGACGCGCCACAGAAAATACGGAACACATGAGGAACGAATGCGCCGTGAGCGAACGCACTAAGATTTCACTTCCGGAGACCTAGCAACACATTCCCTTCTCACTCACAAATGAAAAGAGCTTTGGTGCTCTCATCCCCAGACCAAGTGCACCGAGGTCCTTTTCAGAAAGCTCCCCCATTGTTAGTGCTCAGGAGGCATGGGATAGGGAGAGAGAAAGCACAGGAGGAAGACTCAGACCGGGGCTATTCCTGGCTCTGTCACTGCCCTGCTGTGTGATCGTGAGGAAGTCACTTCACCTCTCGGTGCCTGCTGGCCTTCCAACTTTGTGTCTCTCTCATCTATTTAGACTAAGTTCTTTGGGGCAGGGACTATCTGTATGTCTGTGCAGTGCCCCGGACAATGGGGCCCTGATCCTGTCTAGGCACTACTATAAATAATTCTAATAATAAAGGAGGAACAACGCCAGCTTACATGAAAGCGGAAGTGTGAGACATCAGATGGCACAGCCACATTGTAATGGCCCACGGCTTTGTACACGTTCTTGCTGTGTTTCACCAGCACCCCCTGGGGCCACATGCATTCTTCTGTCCACCTGCAAGAGAAACCAACTCCCTTAGTCCCGCCTCCAGAATGACAGGATCAGTCACATGGCAGCTGGCCACGGCTCTGAACAGAGCTTCTGCAGGGGAGTCAATGGCATTCCCCCATAAGCTGGGGGCGCTGCACCAATGCACCACCGACAGTCCTAATCCTTGAGTCAGTTACAAGAGTCCTTAGTGACAATTTGCTAAGACGTCAAGTTGCAGTTCTTTGCGAGGGCAGAATTTGGCTCGTCCAGCTGTACAACTAAGCATTTAATAGCCATTGTCACTGCTTACCACAAACCAGAGGTTTGCTCGCTGCGTTTGGTAGGGGATGGGATAGCTCATGCCCATACAGCGTTAGGCTGATTAGCAGCCACACAGAGCAACTCTGGTTTCAGGTTTCCTGTTGCTGAACTGAGTGAGGGATCTCTCCCCCAGGGTGAATAGCAGCCTGGCAGATTAGCTCCCCACCCCAGCAGACAAGAGAGAACAAACCAGTGCTAGCCAGTGGGAGAGGTCCTTACTGATGCTGTAGCACATTGGAGCATAGGGCAGGATCGACCTTCTGCCAGCAGCCCAGGTGTGCCGCAGCTTTGTGGAGGAGGTCGCAGTAGCGGGCAGGCAAGAGATGCTGCATCAGAATCACAGACGTACTGATGGACACCAGCAGGAACAGCTCACATGACCACCGTTTGTCGTAGTACTGAGTGTTCTGGGGGGGGGCAGGAATACAGTGTAAAAATGCATTCGGACATCCTGACCCAACAAAGCAGAGTCAGAACACGAGGCACTCAAGCGAACCGGTGCCTTTTCACGGCAGCAATTATTCCTGCTTGAGAAATCAAGAGGCAGAGCAGGGCAGCAGCTGTACCAGCCCTGCATTCAGCAGTAATTGCCAGCCAAGAAAAGGTTAAGCTTCTGAATACTTCAGAATCAAAATCTACGACCAGCTGGGTGAAGGGGTCCTATTCGGGCAACAGTCACTCTTCTGCATACAAGGGGAACAGTGACTGAGCGTGAATTCCACAACTGACACTTGTGCAGCAATACTCTGTCCCTATGCCACTGGGAGAATCACTACTGCTCCTAGACCCCATACTGCTAGAATCATAGAATCACAGAATATCAGGGTTGGAAGGGACCTTAGGAGGTCATCTAGTCTAACCCCCTGCTCAAAGCAGGACCAATTCCCAACTAAATCATCCCAGCCAGGGCTTTGTCAAGCTGGGCCTTAAAAACCTCTAAGGAAGGAGATTCCACCATCTCCCTAGGTAACCCATTCCAGTGCTTCACCTTCACCACCCTCGTAGTGAAAGTTTTTTCTAATATCCAACCTAAACCTCCCCCACTGCAATTTGAGACCATTACTCCTTGTTCTGTCATCTGGTACCACTGAGAACAGTCTAAATCCATCCTCTTTGGAACCCCCTTTCAGGTAGTTGAAAGCAGCTATCAAATCCCCCCTTATTCTTCTCTTCTGCAGACTAAATAATCCCAATTCCCTCAGCCTCTCCTCATAAGTCAGGTGCTCCAGCCCCCTAATCATTTTTGTTGCCCTCTGCCGGACTCTTTCCAATTTTTCCACATCCTTCTTGTAGTGTGGCACCCAAAACTGGACACAGTACTCCAGATGAGGCCTCACCAATGTTAAATAGAGGGGAATGATCACGTCCCTCGATCTGCTGGCATTGCCCCTACTTATATAGCCCAAAATGCCGTTAACCTTCTTGGCAACAAGGGCACACATTTGACTCATATCCAGCTTCTCGTCCACTGTAACCCCTAGGTCCTTTTCTGCAGAACTGCTGCCTAGCCATTCGGTCCCTAGTCTGTAGCAGTGCATGGGATTCTTCCGTCCTAAGTGCAGGACTCTGCACTTGTCCTTGTTGAACCTCATCAGATTTCTTTTGGCCCAATCCTCTAATTAGTCTAGGTCCCTCAGTATCCTATCCCTACCCTCCAGCATATCTACCACTCCTCCCAGTTTAGTGTCATCTGCAAACTTGCTGAGAGTACAGTCCACGTCATCCTCCAGATCATTAATGAAGATATTGAACAAAACTGGCCCCAGGACCGACCCTTGGGGCACTCCACTTGATACCGGCTGCCAACTAGACATGGAGCCATTGATCACTACCCGTTGAGCCCAATGATCTAGCCAGCTTTCTATCCACCTTATATTCCATTCATCCAGCCCATATTACTTTAACTTGCTGGCAAGAATACTGTAGGAGACCATATCAAAAGCTTTGCTAAAGTCAAGGAATAGAAACTAACAATGATCCTCCTTTAGCTCAAATGGCAGGGGGCCTGCACTTTTAGAGCAGGTGGCTTTGAGTTCTAGTCCCATGGCTTGCAAAAGTGACAGCCATGAAGCCAGAGGCATGGCAGATTACGACAGGTCCCTGAAGTCTCCGGTCTCATTTTATACTCATCCAAATACATTTGCTATACAGTACAACTTACTGTGAAAATCCAATAAAATAGATGGGGGAGAGTTCCCTCTATTACAATTTACCCCCCTCCGTAAAGAGAGTTAGGATAGAAAAGAAAATCAGTTTTATTCTTGTCTTGAATCTGTCCCTACAAGACATTACAGTTCATAAAAAGTTGACTTGGCCATAACCAAAGAAGAAATTCTGTAAGTCCATGGGGGAAAACAGTTTCACCTCAATGGATGGAACAAGCACATGACACTTTGCCATGGATGACAGGAATACAGAAGTTTGCGTATCTCAAGGTAATCAGAGTTCAGTGGCTGAAACACACAGTAGGATTTTGTATTGTATTATAAGTTAAATTCAAACTTTTCTATTTCTCTCAAGCATCTCAACATTCAGACCCCTTCTACTCCACAAAACTAACCAGATCACAGGACAATTTGGAATTAAGCAAATCCATACAAGCCAGGTGTAAATTGATTTACGTTCGTCCACACAGGCGACTCTGTGTAACGTGTGTGTAGACCAGACTTACTGCACCCACTTTCCATACATCGGATGAGAACTAACCATATTGCAGCCATACCCAGCCAAGCATCCGATTTTGCTAGTGACTCAAACAAAACTGCCTCACTTGACCTATTAGTGGGAGGAATGACATGAAGCACGTGCTAGAGCAGTGAGCACATAAGGGTGCATGGCACTCACCTTCACAAACCAGACAGGCACAAAGGCCACATAATAGGCGCTGAGCATGGAGCTCACCAGCACCTCTTTCATCCTCCAGTTAAAGTCCATCTTCAAATACTCCACCTCATTGCGGATCAGGTCTGGAGAGAGGCAGCATGCATGGGTGGGCATGGCCTCCATGCCATACATTTGCCTGGTATGCTGCTTCCAGGTCTCCTTTAAAACTGTTAGATAGTCTTTACCCCTGGAGTTCACTTCCCCCATCTCTTGGGGGCCAATGTTAGCCACTTGGGAGAAGAGGGCTGTCTTCCGAAAGTCACAGTTCAGCTGGAGAAAAGGAATGTACATGCCGAACCTGGAAGAGCACATGGGCAGGAAGGCTGTAACATCAATGTCCCCAGTTCCCCCCCGAGTCTGACTGCCATTCCCATGACAGTGAAGAAGTTTTAGCACCCAACATCCCCTTGTGAATAGTGTTTAGGATCATGAGAGTCACTTCCCACATAGACTCTAGAATGGGACAGCGAGAGGGATACGGCCACGTGACATTGCCCACATATCTACTGGAAGCTAGAGACACAACACAATTAGATCCACCTAATATGCACTGTAGGTTTTGGATGTGCATTGTCAAAGGTGGCCGGTTAATATTAATACTGCTTGCTCACGATTAAGGCTAAGTTTTTGTCGCAGATATTTTTAGTAAAGCTCATGGACAGCTGCGTGGGGTCCTGCTGGCCATCCGCCATAGCTGGGCAGCTGCAGTTCCGCCAGCCCCCCGCCGCAATTGGGCAGCTGCAGGGTCCGTCAGCCGCCTGCTGTGGCCGGGCAGCTGCAGGGTCCCACCCACCAGGTTGGGGGCTGGGAGCTGCGAGGATGGGGCTGGCTGGGAGCTCCAGCCCCAGGGCAGAAAATGTCATGGAGGTCAATGGAAGTCACAGATTCCATGACCTCCGTGACATAATCATAGCCTTACTCATGATTTTATTGTATACTGTTCCAGCAGCTAGGTTCTCCTCCTTGAAGGATTCCTTCTGTTAATCACAGCTAGCAAGGGGCCAGGCCTCATTAACATTCAGCATCGCTTGTACCAGAGTCATTCATGTGAGATCACACCATCTCTGCACTGTCCACACCAGCGCCACCAATGGTGACCCTCACATCTGCCTACAGGGTCACAGAACTCAGCTAGCTGACCCGAGACCACGTACCCATCTCATTTACCCTGGTCACCTTAAAGACTGGTGGAGCATGGCTCCATACCTTTATGAGATGCTTCTTAGTTCACTGGCACAGAATGATTCTAACATCCGAACCACATTTGCCTACAACAGTGAGGGCTGGTTTACACTGGGGGGGGGGGGGGGAATCGATCTAAGGTACGCAATTTCAGCTATGTGAATAGCGTAGCTGAAGTCGACGTATCTTAGATCGATTTACCTCGGGTCCTCACGGTGCGGGATCGACGGCCGCGGCTCCCCCGTCAACTCCGCTACTGCCTCTCGCTCTGGTGGAGTTCTGGAGTCGACGGGGAGTGCGTTCGGGGATCGATTTATCGCTTCTAGACGAGACGCGATAAATCAATCCCCGATAGATCGATTACTACCCGCCGATCCGGCGGGTAGTGAAGACGTACCCCGAGTCTTTACCTGTTCACCCTTGGGCAGAGAAACCTTTCCCAGAAGGGGGGCATAATTCTGCTGTCTGCCTAGAAAGAGAACCTTGTTCCTCAGATTTGGTCAACAAGTGGCAGGGGAAAAGTGTCTGATTCTATCCATCTTGCACAAGATATTTATGGACCAAACCAAGGAAGTGGGAAGCTCTGGGAACTGAACAGCCAAGCACAAGTTTGAGAAATGGATTATTTATACAGCATGAGAAGTCTCAAAGTGGACAGTCCTTTTATGAAACCCTGGGCAATTTGCAACCTGTGGTCACCGGGCAGGTCATTCAAGTAGAATGGAAAAGACACATACCAAGCCCCCAAGAGATCTAACCTAATCTAGTCTTTACGATCTACCAAGAGAGTGAAAGGTTAAGTTCTGTTGCAAAGAAGTCAAGTGATCATTTACTTTCAAGCCACATCTTGCCCCATATGGCATTGGAATAAGAGCATTTGATTGGACAGGCAGCTTTCAAAATTCATCATCTAAACACAGATAGGAGAAGAGCGGTACTTACGGGTAACACAGGAACAAGAGATTGAGGAACGAGTAGGTTCTGAAGAGGTGAATTATTGACCGGCACAGGCTCCAGCCTGTCCCAGTGAGGACTGCAAACCGAGTAATCACAAGGAAAATGGAGCGTGGCAGGGAGACTTTGCCACTTTGTGAAGCCTGCAGAAGAGAGAGAGCAGGGCAGGACTTAGACAACTTATTTCCTTCTGGAAAGCAAACAGGAAAAACTAGCAGCATAACTAGTGAATGAGCTCTACTCGGTCCCACTAAACCAGCACCACACAGCAATGGCAGCAGAGTGACCTCCAAGTGCCATGTGAGTGCAGCCAGACGAGAGAGGCCTGCTTTAGATCAGAATCTGCATTTGGACTCTCCAAGATCAGGAAGCTGAACCTTGGGCACAGATTTCAAATACACTTCCCATGTCGCTGGGGAGAGAAGAGCTCCTGTGGTGTCTTTAGCCCTGGTGTGTCACCTGGCTGCAGCCTAGAAGGCTGCTCAAGCGAGGAGCAGATTGCTTTCCTGAACACACTGGGAAGAAAAAAGAGGAAGGGAAGGTGAATGGAGCCATACATCATTCTTTAGTAAAGGATAAAGCAAACTCACTACAGTTTGAAACACTAGGAATTCAGTAACCATCCAATATACATAAATACGGTGAAACTCATATGAGTAATGGATTGAGACAACTCTGTAAAATCAGTTTTCCAGTAGGAAACCACCTCGAGGTTTTATGTTCCAGTCAATTCAAAACCCTTCAGAACAGGGCAGGAAAAAGGCTGAAGTTTAAAAGGGACACTTGATTTTACATTCAGCTTCCAGTACGCCCAAACTTCACCCTATGTTTAAGCTGCCAGGTACTATCTCTCATCTAGTTTTTGCTTTTAAATTCGTCATTCCATTCTAAGAAACTTCTATACTCAGTTCATGTCAGCACATCCCTTTGAAAACATACGGCACTCTAAGTGCTTAGAGTACCTGCAGATCTCTCTGTAGTCACTATTATGCAGGTCCTACAGAAACTGTTGCTTTACTGATGGCTCTTCAGCAATAACAGCTAGTGCACACAATTAATGAGGCTGGTGTTTTGGCTTGATAAGGCTCTCTATTGAGTTGAAATGCACTTCGCTGCATTCTTTTACCTAATGCACCCACAATACAGAAAGGCAAACACAGATGCTAGTCAGAGAAGGTTGGGAAGGAGAGAACAGTTCTGAGTTTGGCCTGCGGCTTTACCTCCTTCACAATGGCACCGATCAGCCTGCGCGCTAAGACGATTGTCGTCACCGTCAGCACGTTGAAGTCAATGAGATGAAAGTTCTGCAATGACAAAAAGGAAACACTTCTATTTTGCTCCAGGCAGCAGAGCCACTTCTAACTCTCTCCTCCTGGATTATCAGGAGAATGCCAAGTGTGCACTGTGCCAGGATGTCCAAACTTTGCCCAAATTAGAGTCACTTGACAATTTACCTGGGGCCTCAGAGCCACATCTAGTTTCCATGAAGTGGCGCTGATTATAGCCACTTAGTCTTTAACAAAAAGGTGAAGCCTAGAGAGACTAAGTCCGAGGATGCAATGTGGCCAGGCTACTCAAATAAAGACGGAGCAGTGCCTGCTGGGACCTAGAGTCACAATAAGCCATGCTTTTGTATTCTGGTCCAAGGCAGCCACAGTGCAGAATTCCTTGTGTGATGCATTTGAAGCCACAGGAGAGCTCTACAGCTCAGCCCAGAACAATAACATCAGCCGGATGGAGCCACGGCTTGTTCCAGTCATGAAAGAGGCTTCTCTTAAAATGTTGGATCCCCACCTCTGCTCATCGCCTCTCCTGTATGTGACTCGCTTTCGCCCCACTCCGCCAAGGATTCAATTTAAGAGGATCAACTCTATTCTGAGAAGGAAAGCCAGCGTTGGGATGGAATCCCAGATCTCATGATTCTTAACAATACAGATACATTCAACATAAGAGCTGGTATTTAAATTGAATGTACAACCCCCCTAGTAGGAGCCAGGGGGGTTGTACATTCAATTTAAATACAATTTTTTCCCCCTCAATGTTTGTTATATCACTGCTCACTGAATCAACACATACCCCTATGCTCCCTACAGTGACAGGGTGCTGGGAAGGTGGGCTGTTTTGCCCAGCACTATAAAAATGTCACCGTCACAAGAGCTGGGCTAGATTGGGTGCTGGCTCTTAGACTGACGTGCTGTCCTAACAGAGCATCTACCCAGTTGCTGTCGAAGAGCAGGAGGAACGGGGATACCTGTTGGGGAGGGAATGGGTTTTCGGGTGCTGAGCAATCTGGAGAGAGCAGCCATGCACATGGGAGTGGGATTGGAGGTAAACTGGAGGCAGGGATCTATAGGACTACAGCAGCACATACCCAGGTACCTACCAGTGATGTGTGCGATGGAGGGTGGGAGGGTGGGTACCACCACACAGTTTTGTAGATATTGATGTAGTGGACAAATAGAGCAATGAGATGACAGAAGAAGAGCTGAAGTTCAAACAAGACACTCCTCTCCACAGGCAGCTCTGGGATCTTACAGTGCCGGAGGGGAACCACTGTCTGGGTTGCCAGAGGAGGGCTGGAGAGGCCTGTACCTGAACCGCTCCTACCAAGATAAACCAAAACCCACCAGTTACTCCCCTGAGATATGCTGAGAAAAAAACCCAATGCCCACCCCCAGCCAACACATTCAGACCGCAGAGGATGGACGGGTCTATGCTAAGCGAGGAGCCCAAGCTAAACACTACACCCAGAGGCTGCAATGAACTGGGACAGCCAATGCTTAAAAGACACCTGTTGCATGCAGATGTGAGACAACGTACAGAAGTAGTGTTGCATGCTCAGGATGTGCCGATACCTTTTTGCCTGATATAGGCATGGCCTTTGGTTTGTATAGCAAGAACTATATTTGGGATCAGGCCAATCTGCAGCACCATGACATCGGAGTCCCCCACTTTGAGCAAGGTCCGAGAGCAGTGCTTGTACACATGCAGCCCAACAGGGACACCGAGCGGCCTTTTAAGCTAATTGCAAGTGTTTCTGCCTCGTACTATTTACATTGTGTAAAGTGTACGCACAAAAGATTTGGTGCCATAAAATCCAAGTAAATAAAAGAAATTATGAGATTTCGTATTCTCCCAAAGCCTATTTAAAGCCACAGAGGAACCATGAGGTTTAGTCACAGGTTTGTATTCCTGTGTACAAGTGCAACTCCGGCTACCAACCATTTACTCAAAGAGAAGGGTATCAATGCAAGTCAAGCAAGGTGCATCCAGTGACTGGTCCCTAAGCAACAACACTCAGTAATTAGGTCTTGGATTTCCAAAGGGGCTTCAGAGCATTAGATGCCAAACTTCCATTAAAAATCACAGCATGGAACCATAAAAGTCACAGCTAGAGTGACGGCAGAAAAGCTTCCAGTCAAGTGACTGGAAACAAGAGGCTCAATCCAAGCTTTTTAACAATAAAAGACTGTGAAGGCTGAAAGCCTTAAACAGAAGGTCTGTCTACAGTGCAATCAGAGGTGTGACTGTGACGACGTGGGAATGGTCTTAATGTTTTCTCTCAATACTGTGTGCGTGCCTCAGTTTCCCCTATGTATACTCAAGTATCTAGGTGATGGGATAAAGGTGTGTTGTTGTTGCAGAGACGCCTACAGGGCAGGTGTATTCCCCCCCCACACACACTAAAGGGCAGGTGTAACTGCCGACTGGCTGCCTGGGCACAAAGAATGGCCGACACCCGCAACTGATGGCCAGAGCCTGTCCTCTGCAAGGAGCCAGCCAAAGGTGCTGGAGAACAAAGAGAGAGGTGGAGACCAGGTGACCTGTTTGCTCAGAAAAGAGACAAAGCATGGAGGCGGGACAGTTGGGGGTGACTGAGGCTGGGCTGCTGCATGCTGGTCAGTCCCCTGGTTTGGGACTGGGGGCCATGTGCTCTGGACTCCACTACGAGGGACTTTGCCGAATGTTCCTGCTTACTGTGCTAACAAGGTATGTTCTACGCTGTGTTTCCGACGACTAATAAACCCTTCTGTTTTACTTTGCTGGCTGAGAGTCACTGCTGACTACAGAGGTGGGCTGCATGGCTCCTTTGGGGCGGCATGTAAGGTTTCCCCAGGTGTCCCATCCAGGTGGACTCACCGCGGGGAGCTCATGTTGTGAACAGGGGTGCTGAATGCTCCAAGGTCAGACCCAGGAGGCGCTGGAGCCAAGGAGACTTGCCCTGATGAGAGTGTGCCCTGAGGGGGGAGACACACTGCACTAGAGTCCTGACTGACTTCATTCAGAGCATGCCAGAGCACCGAGTCTGTGACTACGTGACGGTGTCTTACATACACTAACTTTGATCTCACCAGCTCCAACAACTGCAAAGAAATTGCAGCAACATGGGCGGCAGCACAGGCTGTGCTCTGCCATCCAGGACCTGGGGTAGGTACTCAGGGCTAACCGGTTCTGTCGTGGCCTTACTGCTATTGTTACTGGAGCTAGCTAGCTCAAAGCTAGCTCCGGTATGTCTACACATGCTGCAATCACACCTCTGATTGCAGTGTAGACATATGCAGAGGCTCAGGTGTGTCACTGAAGGCATAATTTAGCATTCACAGCATTAGCTCTGAAATCCCAGAAGCCGCAAATCTCACAGGATTGATTCAACCCTTCGACCTTTGGAACTCCTGCTGGAAACAACACTTCTATAATACAGGTGTCCAGAAGACAGAGACATGAGGCCTCACAGGCTCTGTGTGGACGCTCGAGATCTAATGGCACTTTTTATAGAGTAAGATTCTCACCCTGCCAAGCCTTTCCCCTGCTCATCACAGGGGCTTGCCCTCCATCTCCAAGGAGGCCTCATGCACATCAGGGCTGCTGGATGTATATGGATTATAAGGTGCTCTGGACCCCTTGGGATGAATTGCTATATAAATGAGTAATATTAAAGAAACATCTCAGCCTAGGGCCACAATCAGGGAGTACGTTAAGGGATATTCACCTGCTGTGTCAAGGATGTTCTATCCAAGGTATTTTTGAAATGCTCATCACGTGGGTATCCAAGTGCTGATTTCCCTCAATTTCTCACTCGGCACCACTTCCCCTCTCCTCCCCCACGCTTCGGTGCTTTCTCCACAGAAGTCAGATTGAAAGTGAAAGCATATAATCCAAGGCTGAGCTGCTACCATTCAACCAGTTTAGGATTTGTGAAAGAAAAGCAGACTGCATCCATCTGCACTAACCAACCGCTGCCCCAGAAGTGCATCAGCTGCCATACACCGCTGGATATGGTTGATCCACCAAGCAGAACTCTGGAGCCATTTTGTAAATAAAACTTTGTCTATAGCACCCCAATCTCCAAGTCCTTTCGAACACTCCCGTCAGGTAGCTAAGCATCACATGCCAAGCACTTGGCAGTCCTGGGGTGTATCAGAACCCACACTTCCCAATCACCATTCTTTGCTTTAATGACAAAAACATACTCCAGGGAAGCTGTCATGGATAAACAAGACTGTTGCAACCCGACATCAGCCTACCAGCAAAAAAGTCACCGAACCACTGACAAAACGGCCAGGGTAAGGGATGGAAAAACATGAACCAGCCTCATTGTCAAACTACGTGTTTCACAGAGGAGGAACTGTCACGGCACATAAGGGAATAAAGGGGATGCACATTTACCTGGTACGTGAGCGCACACCAGTGACCGATGAACTCGTGGAATGTCCAGAACCCCCAGTAGCCCCAGTTTCACAAAGAGGATTTCGGCAGTAGGATGTCCGGTTAGGGCCCCGCCTTCCCCCTGCCATAACAACAAAGGGTATGGAGACTGCCCTGAGAGGTTGGCTGCTGCTCACTGTTTGACTATTTCTTCAATCCTTAAAACTGAAAAGGAAAGATTTATAACACACGTGGATTTGGAGCAGAGTAGGTGGGTAACTTTCATACACCTCTAGCACCTCAAAGCATCAAAGCCTAACTTCACAGCACCCCTATGGTGTTATCCCTATTTTACAGATGAGGCAATGTAGGTACAGGGGCCCAGATCCTCAGAGCCCTGAAGAAGAACTCCGTGTTGCTTGAAAGCTTGTCTCTTTCACCAAGAGAAGTAGGTGGTCTAATAAAAGAAATTACTGCACCCACCTTGTCTGTCTCATATCTTGGGACCAACGTGACTACAACAATTCTGTAAAAAACAGATCCTCAAAAGGCATTTGGATTCTAACTTTCATTGAAATAAATGGAAGTTAGGAGCCTAAATACTTCTGGAATCTGGCCAGAGAGGTTAAATGACTTGCTTGAAGGTTACAACAACCTGGGAATATAATCCAGGTCTCCTTAATCACAGTTTTATGCCTTAACCACAAATCCATTCTTCCTCTCTTAGAGAGGCCTTGCAGAAGAAAAAAAGTTGGGCTTCTGCCATTTTTGCTTCTTTCCGATGGACAAAGACTGTAAACTCTTTGGGGGCAGGACTGTCTGTACAGTCCATGACTGGGGCTCCTACATACGACCACAATATAAACAATAATAATCTGAATCTTTTTTTACAGCAACAAAAATCTGCTTGTTCTTTTATGCTGGACATTTAAATCCTGTGTTGGCTGGAAGACTATTCAATGCCTATAGAAGTAGTAAGATGGCAACATCACATTTGGTAAAAGAGCACAAATTGAGCTATTCAAAGGGGAGGGTTTTTGGTGTGCGCCTTGACTGCTTAAAACTCTGTTGTGTTATTTGTCCCTTAACCTCCCAATTAACAGAACTTTGTTAAGGCTTAACAGCCATGCCCCTCAATTAGAACATAAGAACGGCCAGACTGGGTCAGACCAAAGGTCCATCTAGGCCAGTATCCTGTCTTCCAACAGCGGCCAATGCCAGGTGCCCCAGAGGGAATGAACAGAACAGGGAATCAGCAAGTGATCCATCCCCGGTCGCCCATTCCCAGCTTCTGGCAACACTTCTAGGGACACTTCAGAGCATTGTTTTGCATCCCTGCCCGTCCTGGCTAATAGCCATTGATGGACCTATCCTCCAGGAGCTTATCTAGGTTTTTTAAACCCTGTTATAGTCTTGGCCTTCACAACATCCTCTGAGTGCCACAGGTTGCCTGTGGGTTGTGTGAAGAGACGCTTCCTTTTGTTTGTTTTGCACCTGCTGCCTGTTAATGAACGAAGGTGTTAGGGCTCCCAATAAACACCCGCCAGGCGGCCCTCCAGCAGACTAGGGAAGGCTACGCTGGAGAGCGGACAAGACACACAGTAAACGCCTCCCAGGTGTGAAAAATCAAATTAAAGAGAGCTTCCCCCACCCCCGGCAGCAAGGAAGAGCCCGGCCCGACGCGGCTGCAGTTGGGCGCACCCGAGGGGGCTGGGGGGTGCCGGGCCCCGGGGGCTGTATGGGGGCCGGGCACAGCGGGGGGGGGGGGGGGGGGGCGGGGCCCGCAGAGGGGGGGGGGCACCGGGGAGAGCGATGGGGCTGGGCCCGAGGGGCGGCGCGTGCACGGGGGGGAGGGGGCGGCCAAGGGGTGATGTGCGGGGCTACCCGGGGGGGGGGGCACAGGAGGTTGAGGCCGGGCCCGGGGTGTCCGGGGGGGGCGGGTCTCTGGGGCTCCGGATCTGCAGCCCGACCCCGGTGCGAGCCCCCCCCAACCCCCCACATCACACCGAGGGGCGGGTGTCGCGAGCCCGGGGCAGCCCGGCCGGAGCCGCTCCCACCCATCGCCCCCCCCCCTCACCCATCGCCGCTCCGGCTGCAGTAGTTCGGCCTGCGGCGGGGACAATATGGCGGGCGGGGCCGCCAGGGGAGAGACGGTGGCGAGGAGCGGACAAACTTCCTCAGCACGCGCGCGAGCGGGACCCGCCCCTTAAAGCGGCAGAGCCCCGGGGAGGACGGAGGAGCTGGCTCCGCCCCGTGGGCCGGCGGTGGAGTCGGGGGACGCAGAACGCGGCGCCGCCCCACGTGTTCAAATCGCCTCGCCCCCCTCTCCCCCCCGCACGGATGGGGAAACTGAGGCACAGAGTACGGCAGCGGCTTCCTCAGCGCGCAGAACGCGTCAGTGGCAAAAGGTAGAACCCAGGCGGTCCTGGCTCTGTCCCCCACTCCCCCTGCTATAGCCACTAGACCCGACTCCCCCCCCCCCGGAGTCCTGGGTTCCCTGTCCCCCCTGCTACAATCACCAGACCCTCCCTTACCCATGCTTGTGAACAGAACCAGGCGTTTCAGCTGTAACCACTAGGCCACACACTTATTGGCATGTACATTTTAACCTAGTTTGTGTATGGACCTGAGTCAGTGGCATCTGAAATAACTCGTGAGGTGTCAGCCAGCCAGATGATGCATCGCCACCCCCCAGCTACACCATGGTGGTATCTGCCCTTGAGGCTGGGAATTTTTGATCTGGGAGGCATGTCTTCTACTGCACTATGTCATTTGTATTAATAACCACAGCACAGGTGAGCACAGAGGCTGGGAAAATGTGTTATAAGGTACCCCTTTCCCTTTTTTCATTGGCTCTTTCATTTCAGGGGAAAGAGGGGTGGAAAGCAGCCAGGAATGGTGTAAGGCAGTACTGTAGTTCTCAAACTTTTGTACTGGTGACACTTTCACATAGCAAGTCTCTGAGTGCAACCCCCCTTATAAATTAAAAATACTTTTATATTATACATGCTGGATACAAAGCAGGGTTTGGGGTGGAGGCTGACAGCTCACAACCCCCCCCCCCTGTAATAACCTCTTGACCCTCTGTTTGAGAACCCTGCTGTAAGGTGCTCAGATACCACCTTTAAAAAACCAACAGATAAGAAAGAGGAATGTAGGGATAACTTTACTGTAAATATAGTTTTATAAAAAACAGTAAGTCTGCATTTTCCCCCTTCAGGGCTTGATATATGTATTTACAATTTTTTTTTTCAACTAGGACTTTTTTTTTTTTAACTTCACTGTAAAACCCAGAGAAGTGGTATACGTACCATACAGACCTTAGTTTATCTTCTACAAAGCATATATAGTAAAGTACATGCTAGATATCAGCTACATACATTAGCATGTATTGGGCTCCTGAAACCCCCTAAAAACTTTTATTACAAATTACACCCTGGAACTCAGTCATAGAGCCTTCACCAGTTGTGGTCTGGCTCGGTGCACAAGTCCCTACTGGGCTTGAAGAACTCCATAAGATGTTGCTGCAGGATTTATATTAAACTGTTTCATTCTTCCAAGTGGTGTACAAGCTATATCAGCTATATGTAAGGTGGCTGTAAATTGATGGAATAGGGGTTGTAAAAAGGTAATAACTGTAGACAGGATTTTGTGTGTGGGGGTGGGGTGGGGGAGAGGGCACGCTAGGCAGTAGCCTTTTTTTGTAAAGTTACAAGTAATAAAAACAGGCCATTTCAGAGCTATGGGGAACCCAACAGCCCATGTCAAAATGACAAAAAAGGTGTAGTTTAATGGTCCTTTAACTCTAAAATTACTGCAATTTCAATCCAGGCTGGGAAGAAGAGTCCACTGTGGCTAGAACGAATTCCAATGTTTAGAGAAATAACAGTTAATACTTTTTTCTAGGCAATCTGAAAATGGGACTTATAATGGAATGCTGGCTGCAACCTTTCATCTGCAAGTGGTGGCCAAGGAGCTCCAGACTAAAGCAACATCCATATGATTAGGGAGATAAGGTACATTTAGTGCCATTTGTAACAGGTAAAACTGCACTTTAAGTGTAAATAAACGAGAAAGTAGAGAATTTTGGGACAAATTCTCAACAGAACCCTATCATTACCTTACTTTTTCCTCATTACTAATCCCCAACACTCTTACGCTTAGATGTCCCTCAACAGATCATCCTTCCAATGGTGCCACTGCAGGGTCAGCTGCCTCCCAGTAATAGCATTTTGGTCTTTCAAGTATCTGTGATCCAAAGCCGAGATCTCTCTCAGTTCCTACCCTTCTAAGCATGCACTCTTCCCTGTGCTCGAATCTATGGGGCATAGATTAATCCCCATAGTTGAGTGTAACTCATGACACTAGCAGTGAGCTGTCTGTGATCCAGGACTCAGACTTACTGTAGAGGGAGAACAGAAAATGTTGATGCTCTGACAAACATGGTGGGGGAGACCTGAGCCTGCTCTGCCCTGTGGTATTAGACTATCCAAGTAACTTGAAACTCCCCAGTATACTTCTCTCTAACACTAATCTGGAGTTAATTATTAAAATAAAAGCATGCTCATAAACAACAGAAAGTTACCCAGCTGATTAAGTCTGCCTAATGGACAGAAATGCGGTAAAGATTTGACTTTTTATTCTTATGGAACAGGAAAGGACAATGTAGATTTGACTAGCTCCTGTCCAAACTGCGCCTGAAAAGGTACATGGATTTCTGAAGAATGAGGAGCCTCTCGAGAACTGTCTGTGTGAAATGCCCAACAGTCTAATATTCGACCCATCTAATTAAAAATTTATTAGGATGAGATTAAAACAAGACCAACTGCCTACCTAACACATTCAGTCTGAATCTCTGCAAAGCTCTTCCAGATACAGTGACTTAAAATCTCTCTATATTTTTGAGGGCTCTTACCCCATTCACCTCCACAGCATCCCTTTGGCCTCTCATCCCTCAGCTTTCTGATCTCTTAAAATCTCTCCCTGTCACGTTGCATTCCTCTATAGTCTGTGACTATTTCTGACATTCAACTTGTGATAGATTTCATTGCACCAGGAATTATATTATAGGCATTTCAACCATGTGTCAAATGTTCGGGTGTAGCACCTGGAAGGAAATGCAGTAGTTTGTTCTCTGTACCACAGCTTCTGTTCTCTACATCCAGGTTCCCCATCCCATCTAGCACTGGACTGGAGAGAGACTCCATGAATTATGGCTTCAAGCAAGAGTAGTAATTGCAGGAGGATAAACTATGTTAAAAATCTCACATTGGAAAGCAAGGAAATTCACAGTCAAGGCCTTTATCTACAGGGAATAACTATAAACTTACGTTAATAATATGGTTAACGTATTGCTAAATATTAGCCTGAGCGGGCTTGCTAAGTAAAACTAAGATTTGCCTTGATCCATGTTGACTGTCTTCACCAATAATACCCCCCCCCTTTTTTTTTTTTTTTTTAAATTTCAGCACCTAATTTGTGAGTGTTTCTAATTCTACAGTGCAGAGGATGGAATACAACACAATCCGACAGAGGATTAGCTATGTCCTGGCTGGAGGCAACACAGTTTATACAATTAGTGAACTCATTAAACAAGACAATACCAGATGGTGAAAGGGATCTGCTTTTCCAGCCTACAATGTTCCTTTATGATGGCTATGCACAGAAAATGAATATTCAGACATCCACAAGAGCACATTTCTTAACTCATTAAAATGTTCTGTTCTATATGTAATTGCAAAGATTGTGGGTCACAATTCCTGACTGCACATCAAACATTGAGATTTAAGGTAGCAACCTATGCATTTTTAGAGCAAACCTCCTACTGGGTTTGCTTTTAAAGCTAGAAATGGAAATAGAAGCTTAACTGGGAAAGAGGCGTACTTTCCATTTTAATGCTGACAGTTACCACTTCCCTTCCAGGTTCCGAAGTGAGTGAAGAAGCAGACTTCAGTGTCCTCTTTACATACATACAAAGAAACCCCTTCTGAAAGACAGGCTAGGTTAGTGAATGAGATTGAATGTTCTCCCCTCAAGACAGAGTAGGGTATTAAACGACTGTTCCCCTTCTCCAACCAGCCTACAGAAGTCTTTCGTTATTAGTACTTCCTCTTCTTGCCTGCATCCCCCAACCAAGGTATTTCAATCCTTAATAGGCACTCAATGTTCAGAGGCCCAGGGAAGAAGGTGCCCCAGCTGGTCACTCCCAGATGCCTGCTCGGACACCTTACAGATCATCCCATGCCCATTTGTTCTTTTGGAAGGCAAGGGTGTGGCTTAGTGTATTACTGTTCAAGAAGGGAAGGGGTAAGGAAGGGAAGATTTGCCCTTATAATTATCAACTGTCCTCTGCTTTGCTGTAAAACAGATGGCACACATTCTGTATTAAATAGAAACCTCATTTGCTTTCGTGGTCAAATAAGAGCCCAACTTTACTCTTAAAAACCAAGCTGGCCTCAAAATCTTGCATGCATATATTATAACGAGACCATAATTCTATCTGAATCCAGAAAGCAATACTGTGCCACAATTAGCTATCTAGGTAACTTACTCTTTTGTCCTACTGAACATACACTACTGAAGATTAGATCTCCTCTTATGCAGGGGCGTTCACAAATATGAAAAGCTACCACAGTGAAGTTGTAAAATAAGATAGATATTCACTTTAGTAATCCCAACAGATAGGGAAAAAAAAGAGGCAGACTGCTAGTCTTTGTAAAAACATGCTCTTAACTACTGTTACCACTTCCTCCTCCCACCTCAGTTTCCCACATCTATTACACGCTGAGAATGACAGCAAACTTTGAAGAAGGGGCTGACTTTTACTATGTCATAATGGGGTCCTGATCTTGACTGGAACCTCTAGATGGTATTGTAATATCAAAACCATAATCCCCTCAGAGATGCTCCCTTTGGTACAGTTGACTTTTGGACCTCAAGGATTATTACTTACAGGTAAAACAGAGGCATTTGTTTGATCCGAACCACACCCAATGGAAAAATGTGATGTATAAAGGGAAAATTTACTTTTAATAGATTCAAAAGATAAAGACCAGAAGGAACCATTATGATTATTTAGTCTGACCTTCAGCATAACACAAGCCAGAAAATTTGACTCAGTCCCAAGTTAAGCCCATAATTTGTCTAAACT